TGAGTAAGGCAAGGCGTAGGCTGATTGGGGGGTCGGGAGGTGAAGCGAGTGGGTGTGAAGCAGCAGCACATGTGAATGAATGGCTTCTGGGAGTTTTGGTGGAGGAGAAAACAAGAAGAGAAAAGAAGAGACAAGTACAGTAAAAGACAATAAAGTAAAGTAAAGAGAGGTACTGACCGAGCTGCTCGTTGTGTTTGTTGAAGCTGTCTTTGTAGAGCCCCATCGTCCAAAACTCCATCCTCCTCCTGTTCCATTGCTTCTTCCATTGCCCTTCATGTTCTCCTTCTTGTTGCTTCCTGCAATGCCGCTAATACTTAGCTTCTTCTTTCGCGCCGCCGACATGAGGAATGTCCGATATGTTTCGCTTGGTTGAGGCTGGTACAGCACAGTTCAGTTACTGCGGTAGCGAACATCTCGTCAGCTCAATCCCAGTCCCAGTCCTGGTCAAGCTCATGGTGTGGGTGACCCTGCACATGCTTGCATATTGGTTGGTGTGTGTGTGTGCCTGTGTGCACCTGGTGTATGTATCGAGTGCAGTGCATCCGTGTGAGCGAGAAGTGTGTGCGTGTGTTACGATGCTGGAACAAGCACCATCCCAGACTATTCAGCTCGTCCCGAAAAGGTACAGCACATCTCGGATTGGATGCTCAACATCGCTAACTATGGGTCCACGATGTATGTAGCAGTATCATTGCATCTCTTGATGTTGATCGTCACTTGACTCGAGCCATCATAGTCAAATACAGTAGAAGGCCATGTCGTGATAATAATGAATGCTGAGGAATAAAAAGAGAAAAAAAGAGACAAGAAATATCGTACCTGTTTGAGCAACGTTCTACTTGTGCTCCCAACGGTTCCTCTTATCGCCCGTTTGCTGTCTGTCCTCTCTGTCCTCGCTCTCTCTTTTTCGTCCTCCCTTACACCTATACCAGACAGGTTGTGTATAGATAGGTCCGAACACGCTTTGCAAAAGACAGCAAATCAAATCACGAAAAAAAAAAAAAAAAAGACCAGCACAAAAACAAAGAAAAATGCTCAATGAAGAGATCGAGATCGTTGAAGCAAAGTAAGAACAGGTTGAGCTTTGTGAGATGAGAAGAAATCACAGAAACCTCAATCATCAAGAACGAAGTAGAGGGAGAGGGAGAGAGAGACGACTTCAAGGGCTTTCGCTTTTTTTTGTCGTAAATACATACATAGGTAGGTAGATAGACACATGCAGATACATAATGCTTCACATTCCGCATCTATACTCCCTCGTTGTATATGGATTCCACCAACAAGATGCGCTTTGTGCGGGAGCAGGCGAATTCCCATACACAGTCCTCTGGCTGCGTCTACTTATTCTTTGCCCTTTTTTTCTTCTTTCTTTTGGTCTGCTTCATCTTGTCTTGTCTCTGCCTCTACGCCACGCGACCCCTGCCTACGAACAGACCAATCCTGAGATATGATGGTCGAATTTCACGATCGGGGGGGGGCAATAGCTGCATTCCAATAGTGTCTCATCATTGTCCTCGGCTGGGGGGACTTGCAACCGTCACATATCAGAAGAATACATACATAGTCATTCAGCCAGCCAATGGCTATAGTTTGTCATTATATGCAAAACACAGTCGTATCAGAATTAGATACAATAAAAAGGAAATACCAAGCACGCAAAAAAGAAAGAAAAACTCTAAACGTCTAGCACTAACACAGTTCTGTACTATGCTAATGTTACTACACTGAACCTGACTCAGGAATGTGCAGAAACTCCAACAACTAATAGGCGCTCTTGCACCGTTAACGTGCCCAAAACTCAATCAAAGACTAGTGACCGTCAGTGAAATTTCTTCCTGTTGGTTCTCTCTCTCTCTTTCTCCCCAGATTGTCGAGGTCTAGCGAGTCAAGATGAGATGGTCTTTGATCATGATCAACCACACCAAGACGCTACAAGTAAAAAAGAAGAGCTACAGCGGCGCATGGCAAAAGCGGGTCGAACAAGGCTAGAGCTCTAGGTACTAGACTAGACTAGGTACTTAGACTACGGTAGACTAAGGCCCTTTTCAAATCTAACGGTCTTCCGCGGCCGGGATGTCACTCTATCCCATCCGTTTCCTACTGTACCTTAACCTTCTCGACATTAGACTTCTGTAAACAATTACAGTACATACAGATAAGCTGTACCTGCACTGCACTTGGTCATGGATGTCTAGCATACGCAAGCCATGACGTGCAAATGGCAGCAAGCCTTAGTCGTTGAAGCTGGCATACATAGGTATCCTTGAATCTGCGTTCGCATTCCAGCATGAGATTCGCGGCCCTCCTCAAGGAGGGAGACCATATTAATTTAACGGGCCAAGACACTTGTCAAAGAAAACACTATAGTCAGCAATTCCATTTGCTCGAAACAAAGGGAACGTAATGTCCGGGTTATGTGAGTGAGCACAAGGTAAGGTATGTACATATCTTGACAGATTAAGCTGCGGGTCAAGGGTTTTGATAATTACAGGGATGGCTCCAGATCAGATTAATATGTACAGAAAACAATTTATTTTCCGCGTTCGACGCTGGGACCCCCCTTGATTTAAGTTCAATGAGTCTTTTTCTTCTTCCTTTAATAACTCAAAGCTCTATTTATTCTATCTGACATGTGTTTCAAGGGGTGACACACAAGGTCCCTGGAAACTCGAGACGAAGTTACAGTAAAACGAAACGGTAGCTAAGGTATCTATCTGTGTTCTCTGGTATCCGTAGGTACAACGTCACATATTAATTTCCTTGGCCATATTGAAAGGATGCACTGCTGCATGTTCTAGTTAGTTATGCTAGACATACATTGGTTATAGTTTCTTTTTTTTTTTTTCTTTTTTTTTTACTGCTGATCGGTCGTCGTTCTCTAGGGGATGGGGCTTACTAGTAGGTACTGTACTAAAATGGGCGTCCTCATTTATCTCGTGCATGATACGGAGTAGTAAACGGTTTATTACTTGATTAGTCTGATATAAGCCAAACAGCCACTCAGAGTTGACAGTTTGGTTCTGTCTTTGAGGCCATAACTACCTTAGTACTCCTTCAACAGTTGCGTTTACTTATTAGTATGGTCTTGTTGGAATGGAGAAGAGATGTACCGAGCTTCATGATGGTCTCGAGAGTTGATGGATGCTCCACGCAAGCATCACGAACCGCATTTGCATTACTTTTCCAACTCTTCCTTTCTCTCTCCTCCCTAGAATTCTAGTCCGCGCCCTGTCATTCCAAGAGCCCTCGTGCCGCCTTAAAAGGGAATGTTTCTGAAACAAGGCTTGCAGTACCGAGAATGGCTTGTGTCACCGGCTTACGACTGCGGCCGATATTAGCTGCTGCTGCTGCTGCACGCACAGGTATTCACAACCATTTCTAGTTGCAGAGAGCATTAACCATCAGTTCATAGTAGTTATCATCGTGTTGAGAAATGGAAGTGACATGCTTTAGTGCCCAACGAAACTGGATGCGTCTAATAAACCGCGGATGCGCGGCCGACATTAGATTGCATTGGATGCTCTGAGACAAGCTTGCAAGTCTGAGACAAAATCTGCTAAAAAGCAATTATAATCATTCATTCATTCATCCCCTCCAACTCCAAGGGTTGTGCTCTCCCTTCAGTTGCCACTCGACTTGAGCTTCAGCCAAACCTTCAACCCTTTTTGGTCAAGAGGCGCGGAAACGGCTTCTAACTTACTTGTTCCTCAGTTCGTCTCTTGATGTCTCGGTGATTGCTGCAGCCGTTGATATATGTCTTGAAAAGTGCTGCCACTTCTCTTCACCAGAATTTTCTTATAATCGAATGACGTGCTATATACATTCCTCTACTTTTAGCACCGAATAGACTTCCATTATTAATGCCATCGTGAGAATTCGAACGATCATGATGATTGATATTGGTCTCGATTCTCAGGCATCGTCGTGTCAAACCCCTACCTATTGTTTTCATAGCGTGCTTCCTCCATACAGAGACCACTAGAAAGTATGCAAAAGGAAAGAAGCCAAATTTCATGACATACCTCGGGTCTCTGCTGCGCCGTTCGTATTCTAAAAGCTGTCTGGTAAACGTACAATATCCAAGACCCATCATGCTATGGCTAACATAGCATGCTCACTCCGGTTGGATCAACTACCACAAAAGACCCTGAAGTACGCAAGAGAGGAGAAGCCATGGGGAGTTCGGAGGAATTATCTGACAGAAACTTCGGATGGCGTATCTCACATATTCTCAAGACTAGGTGTTTGTCTCGCGGCCATGTCTTGTAGAATTAAGATATCTAGGTTATTTTCTCGAGATGTGAACCACGCCTTCAAGACTTTGGAGAATTGATAGAACTGATCCTTCAAAGAGATGTGAGGAACACTATTGTTAACATGAACGATGTAACAAATTCACTTTCTCCTATAACCACAAAGCTCTTTTATGAATAGGTTCAACTCAACTTGATTCACACTGGGCTACTCTTGACGGGTACACCTTGGGGTCATATTACACTATCGGTTCATAACTCCTCAAGACAGCAGGCCTTTGTTGACTCCTGAGTATGACGTCCCCGAGAAACTTTGAGTCTCAATACTCTCAGGTCATATATAAATACCTAATCCCAGTCCTTGCATTAGGTTCGACATTTTGGCTTTATATTAGAAGCTGCCGCCGTGCCACTTGAGATTTGACAGAAAGGACAGTGGCCCAATGTTCGCTCCCTATCATGTCTTTGTGCAGATACAACTCGCCTCATTATCATAAAACTCCAAAGTAAAATTTCCTTCTCATCGTAATTCATTACCCTCCAATTGTCCCATGCCCAACACCGCCCATTTCACCATGGACACCTTGCTCCTTAAATCCTCCACAAAGGCTGAGGATACTCCCCTCCCTCTAGTATATACCTCTCAAGCCTATCGCTCTTCTCTCCCATGATTCTAACAATCGTGTCCACAACAGGCAAATCGTTACGAAAGAAGACCTGATGCCAGCCCACGTTGTCACTGAACCTGCCATTGATTCGAACCGTCTCCAGCATTTCGAGTTTCTCTTTCATAAGCTTGAAGATGAAATCCCAATCGATGTCGGTTGAACTGAAAGGATCGCACCATCCATATATACTCTGCAGGTTAACTTCTTTGAGTGTTGAAAGATGGTCGATAATCAGACGGACAAAGTGTACAAAGTTGATTTGTAAACAGCTCAGGTCGATCTTCTCAAGGTGAGGAAGTCTATTCTTAATGTAGAAGTCAATATCGCTGGCCTCGAACTGGACAGGAGTGCTGTGCACTTTTAGGTCTCGGATGTTGGGCATCAAGGAGATGAAGTAGTCGAGGCGGTCTGGCTTGAAGGAGATGACATCGTATTTCAGATGCAAGTGTAGCTGGGTCACCGACCCAAAGACTGTTGATACTCTTGGATCCAGCATGGATGGTATTTTCAGGTACGGATGCATTACCGGCTCGATTGTGAGGCTCTTGAGTGATATGTTGCATCTGAGTAGGGCATCCAGGATGGCTTGCTGAGACTCTAAGATCTCGTTACCGGCCAATTCCATGGATTCTTCCGTGTCAAAGACATCGTCAATTGCCCTACAATCTTTCCAAGGACACTGCGTCCAGGTCAAGCACACGGAATCGAGATTGGGCAGCCTCATGATAGCTGGAACTACCAAGTCAAGAGGCAGCTCGATTGGGTCGAGGAACACATCTTGAGTCTCGAGATAAGGACCCCAGGCTCTATGGAGGTCATTTGCGTTGATGATTCGAGATGCAGCATATTCGACCTCTTCCTCAACCAAGCGAGCCATGTTGAACTTGACGGCGTGAATGCGCCCTGCGCAGCCCGGTACAAGCGAAAGATGATGAAGCCTTTCTCCGTCTTTTCTCCAGGGGACGCCATCGAAATTGGGCAACGCAAGGAGCGGTTTTGAACATTCTGCAATCGTTTGACACGAAAGTCTGAAGTTTTTGAAATCTTGTCTTGGTAGAAAGCCGGCAATGTTGCTGATGAGCTCGTATGGGAGATGTGGAAGGCGGGGCTGCGATGGCGATGGCGATGACGATGACGATGCTACTGGCTCGTGATGCTCCATGATTTGTTCTTGTTCTGTTGTTTTGTGTAGTATTATAGAGCATCAATAGTTAACCGGCTCTATCGCTCTCCTCACAAGTGACCAGTATGTTTGTGTAGGTATGTTCATGTCAAGATATGAAGAGAGTTCAGCTTTCAATCTTGTCCTGTCTCGTCTGTAACCTCGGAGCTGAGCTACTGCCACGCCCCACGGTAAACCTATCACATTCTTTTCCGCATCAAACATAACTAAGGTACTGTAAACCTCTGTCTACCTATTTTCGTCCCAGTCATCCGTCGATTCACGGCCATAAGCCTCAAGTGTGACTATTCCTCCAGGAAACTGATAAGCTTACGTGCTGATTGATGCCAGTCTTTTTTTTTTTTTTTTTTTTTAAGGAAACGCAGGTCATGTGACTGACTATTCTCGTCCTCATTCTCCCATCATCACATCAACCATCATGCTCAAGTAAGTTGCCTCGCCTCGCGCTCAACCGTAGCCAGCCCTCAGCACGAGGACTTACATACACAACCAGGGCTTACAAAAACCTTTCACCCAAGACGCGCCTCGGTGTCGGTATCGCAATCATCGCTTGGGGCGCTGGAGGACTCATGTTGACTGATCCACTTGAGAAGTCTCTTGGCTTGACTCCAACCGAAGAGGACAAGGCTGTGCTGGACAAATACACACCAAAGATCACCACTGTTGAAAAGAACGAGAAAGACGGTAACTAAACTGAGAGGCTTGCAATACATTTATAAACTATATCTACACGTCTCCCAAGGACAATGTTTCCCAAAGCATAGCGAACAAAGCGCAGCAGTGCCAGGGAATCATCTCGTTACATCAGAAACAAACTCATGATACTTCACAATTGGGCACAAAAGAATATAGGCAAACATCATTAACCTGCTCCAAGCCATCAAGTCATGATGGTCTATCGGTTGACCTTCAACCGGTTAGACCTCCCTTTCTATCTTGATCAAAGTCTAATATGCAGTTACAACTCCTCTTCCCGTCTATTCTCGACAAATGCATTGCACAACAGTGCCAACCATGGATGTGTGAGGCCAATCCGGTCTACCTTGAGATGACCATCACATTGGTGAAACCCAGTGACCCAGGAAACAAAGAAAATGAAGAAAACAAAGCAGAATGCAGCGCAACGCCTCCAGATGCAGCCCCCACCCCTATGATACTTTTTTTGGTTCTGTAAGAAATTCATACTGCCGTCCCTCAGTCAAGCTCCGTCTTGACAGACGCAGTGCCAGCGTCTTCCACCACTTGTGGAAGCGGTTTAAATAGTTTTGCCATCTCTAATGTAAGATCCATTGCTCCATACTGATCATCAATCTCTCCAACAGATCCTAATTCTTCTCCTCTGCTCGCGCCATCTGTCATCACCCACGACTTCACCGACTTCAATAATTGGATTATTTGGACAAAGCGAGCATCCGGCGATAGCCGTAAGTCCGCCGCTTGCGTATGCTTGAGCAGGTAATTGGAAAGCCAATAGAAATGGATGCCATCTCGCGAGAAGCCGTGCCGCCGAGGATTGCTAGATCCCGGCAATGTTGGCGGGAACTGATTGGCCATATCCGCATCCCAGTTATTCTTGAACTTGCTCAGAGCGATAACAAGCGCCTGCAGGCTGTGTGGGTCAACGTTGGCAGCCGCCCCCTCCACAGGAGTACCCCGTCCACTATTGTGACCAGCTGGAGTCATCCAATCATTGGGGGGCGGCGTTCCAAATTTGGACAGCTGAGCCGCATTGCCGTCAATCTGGGCCCGCCGAATCAGAGCTAATATGCCATGGATAAGAACAAACTTTCCATAAAGGTTGGTGCTTCCAGGCTGGATCTGATACGAGGGGTGCAGAAGAGCTTTGAGAGCCCAGTCCATCTCAGGCTGCTTTGGTCGCTGAGTGCCATAAGGATTCTTATCACGAGCGGCAACATCGCCGTTGAGGCCAAGCGCAGAACCACAGTCCCCGGCATCGTCTGCATCCCAAGCTGTGTCGTCGCAAGGCAAAGGGAGATGAAATTCCATAACATCGAACAAGGGTTGAGAGTTGAAGTAAAGTCCCATGGCAACATCCATTAGAAAGACGCCAAGCATTAGACGATTCCGACGCTCTTGGTCAACCCAAATACTCCAGTTCCATTGCTGCAAATCAAAAGTATTCCGGTCAAAATCGATTTGGTGAAGGGGTGATAAAGAAGCAGGGTCTCGTGACGACTGGAAAAGATTCAGTCGCCTGGCGTTGGCTGCAAGAGAGGGGTAGATCTGTCGAGCCCGCTCTCTTTGTTGAGGGTTGCCATTCCAAAGTAATAATATACATGTTAGCAAGACAGCCTGAAGCTCTTCAATATCAGTCCGAGTTGCGTGACTCGGTTGCCCTGCCAAAGGTTCAGCATTAGACATCATCTTGCAGTCACGCTGAAGTGCGACAACAAGAAAATCCATCATTTCGCGAACATTGGACGGGGTGACATTGTCTGAGTAACAGGCGCCGATGCAACACATGCCTGCGAGTAAGCCAGTATACGCCTCCATGACCTGGAACGTCGCGACATGGATGAAAGGCATGTGGATGTGGAAGTGAGTGTACTTGTCCAAGAAGTCCTTGACGTTGTCAGGCGAGAAGTAGAGGTTCATCCCCGCGCTGGAGGGATCGATGGCTTGATTAGGAGGATAGAAAAAATTAAGGATCTGGTCAGAAAGAAGATTGTATGAGGTTTGGTGAGATGGCATTCCCATATTCGACAAAAGGGTGTCGCTGGCGCTGGCGCCTGTCGTTCCGGGCCCGGCATTAGGTACGGGTTTGATTCCGCTCTGAGTCTGTCCAAGATTAGGATTGAAAGATGTGTTGACGTAGGTTTGATGCGCACCAGCCTGGAACATCTGAGACCAATCAAGGCCAGATGGAGGGTTTGTGTTTGAGCCGCCATACATGGGCATTCCGTTCTGAGCGGGAGGCATGCTGTAGCCAGTCATCTGCTGCTGGTTCATGTTGGGGTCAGCACCATAGGGCTGCGAAGCACCCATGACCTGACCGTTCATGTTCCGTCTGTCAGCGTTGTTACCGTTGTCGAGACGACCAAGCGAGCTGGATCGAGAGAGTTGGCTCTGATCCTGGGCCATGTTGTTCATGCCATCCGAGACTGGGACCATGCCAAATGGGTGGACCATGTTGTCTGCGGGCATGTTGCCCAAGCCATTGAGGTGGTTGAGGTCACCCTCATGGGCGAGGCCGGCGGCCTTCTGAGCCTGCTGCTGGTTCTTCTTGACGTGAGCCTGAGGGTGCGACAAGTGACTAGCTCCAGTGGGGTTGCCACGGCGGATAGAGCACTTTTGGAAATGACGCTTCAGGATATCACTTCGAGAAAAGGTATCGCGGCAAAGAACACACATGTAAGGGCGATCACCGGTGTCTGTGAAAAGGAACGTCAGTAAAATCTGTCAGTGTCAACAAGCTGTTATACTCACGTCGCAGAAGGTGGCGCTTAAGATGCTTGGCATGGAGGTAAGTCTTTGTGCAGTGAGGGCAAGGGAATTTGCCATCTGCGTCCTTGACAGGAATCACGGTGTTCTTGGCGCCAGTACCAGCGGCTGGGGCAGCAGGCCGTCCAGGAGCACTGGGCAGGATACCGCGTCGTCCCTGAGAGCCAACAACGTGAGTGGGAGGTTCGCCCTCTGGCATCACCGCAGTGGGCTGCATGAGAGAACCAGGACCATAAGGTGACGAGACACCAGGTTGGGACATAATGCCTCCAGGAGGCATAGGGCGCAACACGGGAGGGCCGCGACCACCAGCGGGAGCAGGCGCGATAGGCTGTGGGTGAGACGCGGCAGTGGTCGCCTGGGGCATCATGGCAGAGGTGCCATAGGCCTGGGGAGGAGGGTATTGGTTCTGGGCCATTGAGTAGATACCAGCGCGGTTCGCGGGCTGCGATGTCTGCTGCTGGTAGGTAGGCATGTTGGAGGCCGACCCAGGCGTGTTCGGGGTGCCTGGGGTTCGCGGCGTATGGGGGTGACTTCCGTACATGTTCTGCATGGCCGAGGTTGGAGGCTGCAGCGGTGGTAGAGTCTGAGGTAGAGGAGAGCCGGTTTGAAGTTGGTTGGGAGAAATCGCGGTTGGTGAAGGATAAGTCTGACCAGAAGAAGTCGTGTTTATACCATTGGAGGGGTAGTGAGGACCGTCCATGCTACTCTTGATAGACGCGAAGCTGGTGACGATCGTCGTGGTGTTGAGAATACCGCGACACAAAAAAAGCTGCCCGGGGTACAATGGACCTTGGTGGATGACAAGTCCAAGTCGAAAATTTGCGGAGAAGGGAAGGAAGAGGAGGGGTTTAGGAGATTTGCAAAACTTGAGGAAGCAAAGCAATATCAAATGCAATGCCTTGTATAGCTCCGCAGAAGATGTTCCCGGATGGTGGAGGATGAGGCTCGTGGCAGGGCCCTCTTTGAAGGTAGTGGTTTGGAGAGGGTGCACAGAGTGGAGAACTGGGTCCCGAACCTTTTTAAGTATTATTTTTTTTTTCTTCTCGCGGTCTCCTCTAGACGGTCGAGCTGTCAGGGCAGTTTTTGTAAAGGTGGGTAACGTTGAGTGGGTTCGGAGTGGGTGGGTGTGAAAAGAAGAGGCGAGTGAAGGAGAGAAAAAAGAAGTGGGTTGGTGCGGGTGTGGATTGAAAGCGATGCAGAAGCAGCACTAAAGTAATTTTTTTCGGTCTTGCTTAGTACGCAATCACGAGGAGCGGTCGAAGGCGAAGGAAAGCAACAGCAGCAGCTGAAGTGAAGGGAGGGAAAAGTTGCCAGTCGCGGAACCGTTAGTAAAAATCCCTTGGCCGGCACGCACAGTATGTATTGTAAGATAAAGCCGGTACTCGCGTGGTCGCAAAGTGCCAACCCAGTTGCAAGTAAAGAACCAGCGAGAGGAAGTGGGAAGTGGATAATGTTGTCAAGGGAAGTGGGCCCACAACGAAGCAAAGGAACCACAATCAGAATAGCTGGCGGCT